GGAATCAAGAGCATGCGCCCTTCATCCAGAGCTGTTTAACGGCGATTCTCGAGTCCCAACATCAGTCACAACGCAGAAAGAAATTTGGAGTTCTAGAACCTACCAGAAAAATAAAAGACTTCCCTGCGCCTGTCAGATTAGGAGTCACGTTTTTTAGCCATGACCGTCAAATCGGAGCGGTTACTTGCCGGATCGCTCAGGACGCGAAGCGATCCCAGAACGATTACCAACAGAATAATCGATTTCTTCATGGGCATGCCGCAGAAAAGAGGTGAACTGTCATGTGTACTTTGAGCAGGGAGAGCGAATAGGGATTCTGACATGAGCCAGGGACTAATGCCTTGCGTAGCGTTGACGCCTCGTACGCATCATAATTTTACGACTAATGGAACAACAATCGAAGCGATGATGACTGCAGTTGTGCCAAAAAGAACACAGGCTCGGCGTAAGCTTCTCATCGATCTTACGGCCCAAAGCTGGCAAGGTTTTGTACATGGAAATCTTGAGAATTTCGATCTAGAAAATGTTTGAACCGTGTGAGCCAGATGAAATGCCAAGCAACTTTGTTCGGGCTCAAAAGAAATATGTGCAAAGCGGATGTTTTGATGATTTCCGGGCTAATAAAGCAGATGTTTCGAAAATTTCCGGACCAGTTAGACTCGTTTTGAAACTAACGTGAAACAATGCTTTGTATCTTGTACTTGATGCAGTAAGGACGGCGGCATCACCATCTTTAGCTGTTAGTACATTTTAACGGCGTGAAGCTTGAGTTAAGCGTGAATCGTAGTCACTTATCCAAAACATTACCGAAAACTCAAACATGCAATTTATAAACAGCAGGCGTAACCAATCTTTAAATGAATCATGAAACCATCATAGCTATTCAATCTTGCTAAGCTGCAACACACAGGAAAGCACGTGCCTATAACATTTAGCAGCTAACTAGACTTATCTACCTCTCGCGCATGGCTTTCCACTAATTTCCCATTCAGATAATGTCCTATCTCCGTGTTCCAGCTGAGCGTATTCGTACGTTGCCATTGAAGAAATTCTTAAAGAGGGACGAAGGAAATTACATGACAGTCCAAACAGCGGAAATTTCAACTCTTTGGAATATCGCTACGCCATTTGCAATGTTGTACAGTGGCAGCCACTGTACTCATCTTATAACATGAAGTGCTAGTACTAGAGTTAAGCGAGGCGTCGAGAAAAATTCTGGCTACTCCCCTCACAACGCGAAGTACGGAAAAGTGGTATAACCTTCCCCGAAAACCCGAAAAGAACAAAAAAATCCGGCTTCCCCATCGTCCACAGTAAAAGTCGTCTCACAAGCAAAATTCTAACAAAAATCACCAACAATGAATCTTACAAACAAATCATCAAACAGTCATAAAAATAGTATAGCATGCGATAATAGCATTCATTCTTCCTTTTTTTCCTTAGAAAGGTAACGGTGGCTTAGCCTTAGTGCCACCCAAAAGTGCTTCTCAATCTACACCTTTACCTTATGGTTGGCAAGCCTTGTTAACAACTTAACAAGCAGTGTGTTGATTGAAAAATTTTTGGGCCAAAATTTTAGATATATTTTTTATCCTTTGTTTTTTCTAGCTGTTTTCTAAGAAGTTGAAGCGCCTCTACGAAACGAGAGAGGGACTTTAGTCAAAATAATCTTTTAATCACTACCTCGCACATGCCACCTTATACCCCATAGCAATCGCGTGCGGAGTGACCTCACTTGATTGACTGTGCTGACTGCTGACCTCGTGCAGACACATACTAACTTAGAGGCCGCAGACTCCAAAATCGTTCTCTCACAAAACATGTGAGAGTTTATGTTGAGTGGCTCATTCAATTTCGGTTATTTTTCCAGATCTGGAACTGTTCAATATAGGACCAAACAAAAATATCCAACCAAGAAATTCCCACAATTTTTCAGCACTTTTCCTATTTTTTAAAAGGTGACAAGTCACTTGCTCGTTGTTGCACATATTAAACCTTTCAAAATCGCCTGCCAGCTAGGTTGTGCAACATAAATTTGATGAAATGGTGATCACAAGATGGTATGTCCGCTGATTGCGCTGAGATAAAAAGATTTCTCATCCAAGCGGCAGAAGAGTTTCCTAGAGGGTTTCTCAGAATCTGGCTATGTTCCGAGCAAGCCCCACTGGGATTCTGCATATTCCTGTTTTTTTTTTAAATCCTTCCCTTTTGTGTGAGCGACTTGGAACACCAACTTCAGGAACTTCTGATTCACTGTCGGCCAAAACGCCATATTACTTGGGAATTTAATCGCCATGGAATTTCCCCTGCTCAGCGCGGAATGTTTTTTGCCAAGTCATCGAACATCACCACTCCTAAGTCGTCAAAAATAAAATCTTGGTAGGATGAGACAGAGCCGGGCGGCGGTCAACAGAATCGCCCGGGAGTGACGTCGTCGCGCGCGATCGCTGAACAAAAGTGAATAATTTTGAAAAGCATCATAAAATCGGATTTTTCCTCCGTAAATCTAAATCTCAAGATCGAGGCCGACATTATGCGCTTCGCTGTTCGGTATCTGGTCATACCTGGAACCGGCTGTCTTCATTTGCACTCTTTCTAATACCTTGATGCTTTTTATTTTATGCGAGTAGTAAACCACAGTTCCGTACTCCAATGTAGGCCTGATGGATCGTATGTTTTGTAAGCCTTGCAAAGTACTTTAGGTTAAGGAAGACCAAGATAAGTTGCACAATAAAACCGTTTGTGCATGTCTACCTGAAAAGGTGGCCCATATATTCTTATATTCTTCCTGCTAATAATCGCTTGCCAATCGCTTATATCGTAATTCTTATCGCCACCGGCATGATTGTGTTTCTCAGAAAATTTTTTGCGTGAGAGCATTCGTTGGCGCAGATTAGGCAGGAAGTGGGAAGAGTGAAAGAAAATATCGAACACCAAAATGCGACCCTAGAGCTACTATTGAGTCGAATGTGGTCCGATGGAGAAAAATGAGCATCCATAGAAGACAGAGCGGGCAAGAGTGCACACCACACGAGAGGGCACAGATAAGCGGTCGCTAAACAACGAGATTCGCTACCAAAACGGCCACCAATCGGAGACGTTGATAAGTCTTCAGCTCTCCCGTTGCGCTCTTTCGAGCTCCCTCAATGACCTAAGCTTTATTCTACCTATCGAAAGATTATTCCAGTGTCTTATTCCAGACCTGTGAATGGGTTGCAATTGATAGCTGGCTCACACGATCGCTGATTGCACGATAGTTGCATGTTTGCTGAGGATAGAACCAGGCTACGATGGCTCTGGCTAGCGCGCTAAGATCACTAAGAAACCACAATGCGTTTTCTGAAAGAGTTCGATGACGAAAAGCGGGCATTGGTTAGGGTGGGCTCGTGCAACCAAATACAATAAGATATGCTTATGATCTTGGCTT